CAGCCACAGCATCTGGGTATCTTGCGGTCACCGAGTCGACCATGATCTCCTCTGTATGAAATCTGACAGCGAAAGCTTGGCTGAAACTGAGTCCCACAACAGGACAACGATTCCAGGCACAGCAGCAAATCCACAGAATAATGCTGTTGTTAAAGTTGAGACGAGTGGGCCAGTATTCCTCCACAGCAACGTGAGAGACTGATAAAGTCATACAGAAAATTGTTACTTCAAGTTATTGCTACTAAAATTGGTTCTGCAAGTTACTGAGTGATGGGGTGTACTTAGCTTTTCAGCACTGCTCCTGCATTTTGACATAGATACAGCATAATATGGGTTGTTGTAATTAGGTTGTATTTACCTCATTGACCTGGTGAGAACCACATTACTTTTTTTTCCTATCCAGCTACATAAAACCTAAGTAATGCAAGAGTGCATACTTTCTTCTTACAATGACTGTACTGTCAATCTGTAAAATGTATCTTTAAATTATTTACACATATTATAGTTTGTAATTAACTCACTCTTCCATATTGTTCTAGAGTGCCCTAATCACAAGACCCTGTCATCCACACTTCAACCGGTGGTGACATTAACCAGTGCTGTGACATTTTTTTCTGCCTTTTTCGTCGCTTCTCATCTCACAGCTTCATGTATTATGCAAATATTCAACAAACAAAATAGTTACATGATTCAGCGACGTCTGAGAGCAGAATAAAGCATCAAAAGCACACTAGAGATGTCTTTTGTTAATGGTTACTTTTTTAACACTGTATGGCAGTTCAAAATGTTCTGATGCTGTTCGTTTCTGTTTTTGTGACAAGCTGCAAGCTTTCTGCTAGTTTACCATCTAAAGTATCTGTTTTCACAAATTATATATCATTAGAAGTTACTGATGTCACACTATTTAACCAACACTGGAAGGGCTTTTTACACTGTGTGACGCTGTCTGAGAAGAAAGATGGCTGTCGTCAAAAGGAACGCGGTCAGCTCTGAGGTCATCAATCCAGAACAGCGATCCTAGATCGCGCTGTGAGAAATGTTTGGAGCTTTGGCGACTAAAGTGAGCCTGCAGCAAAACCGAGGCGGTGTCAAAAACATAGGATTACACTCCCACAGCGTGGCTGCTGTTACAACCCACATGTACTAGCCAACAAATTGGTTTGTGATTGGTCAGTGTGACATTTTATATGTGCCATTTAAAGAAAAAAGCCTATATTGATTTAATAGCGTTATTGGAAGGAGACAGCCAAGACTCTCTCACTCACTGTCATCACCCAAACAAAGCCACGCAGCCACTCTGAAACTATACACACATTAGACAAGAACATTAACAAGTGCACAGCAATTATTATCAAATTAGAATACAATGTTCTACTGGGACACCATCAGTCTGGTTTGGAGCAGCAGTGGGATGCTCAAAAGAAACTGTTTTCTTCACATCACTGAACCATGGAGTTATTTATGGTCATTAAACAGTTACAGTCACTGATCACCCCCTAACTAGATAAGAGGTCCATGCCCTGTTGGTAAGCCCTGGTTTTGTCCATAGGGTGAATGTGTTTTGTATGGAAAGTAAAGTCAAAATCAATGTGAATGTGGGAAGGATCCCAAGCGAAACATCACCGTCTGGATCAAATTCATCTAATAATTTTGACTTATTTTCATTTATGCTAATACAGGGAAAGTCAGATCACCAAAGTGATTAAGGTTTATCGTCTGGGTACCACGAGATTTGTGAAAAATGTCCAAAATGATCTGGCAGTATAAGGTTACTACTATTTCAGAAAGTGTGAGAACAGTGGAAAAAATTCCAAGCATATATAATAAATGTTATACATATAGAAGTGAGTGTTAACAGATGAATAAGCAAAAACAAAACAAAACAAGCAAGAAACACACACAACAAAAAGGCACAATAATTGTATAGGTCTTTTCAGGTCTAGTTATGTACCTATGCATGCTGAACATTGGAGCTCATATCAATATAACTGTTGAGAAGATTGATGATAGAGTAGCTTGTTGTCCTCTACAGTGACTGGTGGGGTTGTATATCATTCTTTGGACATCTGACATCTGTATGAATGATTTAGCCAGTAGACAGTTTGTCAGTTATTGGTTTCAGATTGTAGACGTTGATAAGGCTGCCATCTTCAAAGATGTGCATAAAGATAGTTGGCTGCTTTACACAATTAAGTATTTATACTCATATAGCATGTCGCTGAAGTTAAATTAATTTAAACAAGGAAATACATGATAGCTAATTTTATTTTATAATTTGAATTCTTTCATTTTAAATATAAATTACATGGACCTTAAATGATATTTAAAACCCATGGTGCTACTGAAGCGCTGAAACAGAGTTGAAATACACCGAAATGAAATACGGCTTTAATAATTGCAGAACTGGTGGTCGGAGAATGAGAGTTTTTTGATTTGTGCAGTTGTCAGGATTTGGCTGATGACCGTACTGTATGTTCTATATTAGTATCAGGGAGGAGCCGGCAATTTAGATGGGAACTTTCTCATCTTTTTTTTTTCCATTTACCTAAATGCTGACTTGATATAGTTTCTTTTTTTATTGCTACCCACTCTCAAAGTGAATGCATGCGAATACAATAAAGCCGTTCCCACCTATTGTATTTCTTGTGCGCTATAAGGCAAATGCAATATACAGTTTTTTAAGATTTTAATTTCCAGAGAAGTCATGCTATTTACTCACCACAGAACACTGCGCAAAGCAAATAGTATATTTCTGACTTGCTTCCACGGACAGAAAGTAATAAAATAAGGCATTGAGGGAAATTATCATCAGCAAATATCAAAGGTAAAAACTTTGCTTCCATAAGGATTTAAACTGAGCCAGAAAAGCAAACTCTGTGAATTTATGAAACAACAATTTTAACCTGAAAGTGTCAGTGTCACAGCCCTCCGTTATTTGTTTACTGTAAAAGTGTGGGTCAGAATATGTCAAGAAGATAAACCTTTACATGATCCAATTTAGATAATCTGCGCTCCAACATCTCCTCACGTCTTTGCTGCCACGTGAATGAATACCTTTGTATTGCCTTCAAGGTTGCGAACTTGAGAAAAATCTTGTTAAACGAACCATAATGGTATTAAATAAAAAATAACCTTCAACCTCTAACATAAAAAAATGTTTATTTTCCTTTTCTAATACGCACTCTGCTCTTACTCCTTTCTACCACTTCTTACTAATGAAAACAGATGAAAACTCTGCGGCCCAATAACGCGAGCATTAACACTAACCCACGCTTATAAAGACAAACAATCTCTGAAACAGGAGTAAATATGGCTGACTTTCCAATAGTGGAGGAGGAGAAAAAAATGGACCCTCTGGGAAATTTTCTCTGATCAAGTGCAAAGAGATTAACCAGTTGGACGTGTGCTAATGAACAGAAGATCATAATGAGAGGCGCTCGTAAATGTAGATGAGGCATGTGAAGAAGAACAGTGGCTTCATCTTGTATCAGATGAAACACAAGAGTAATGTACGGAAACCAATTATTTTACTGTTCCCTTTCTACCCAACATCCTGACACTGTGTAATGATGGACTGATGAAAATGTCAAGTCTTGATTTAAAGCGTGGATAGGAAAATAATGCAATAATAATTTCCAGCGGTAGCCAAGTTAGAAAATAGGATTACATAGGTTGCGGTGCCTATACACAGCAACTAATATACACTCCTCAAAAAAATTATAGGAACACTTTTTAATCAGAGAATAGCATCAAATAAATTAAACTTCTGGGATATTGATCTGGTCATTTAAATAGCAGAGGGGGTTGTTAATCAGTTTCAGATGCTTTGGTGTCAACTCCTGCAGGATGGCACATCAATATGTTTGCTGTGTCGCCCAGCACCATGTCTAGAGCACGGAGGAGATTCCAGGAGACGTGCAGTTAGTCTAGGAGAGCTGGACTTGGCTGTAGAAGGTCCTTAACATATCAGCGGGACTGGTATCTGCTGGTTTTTTGAATGAGGAACAGGGTGAGCACTTTGAAAGCTGCAAACCTGCAGCAGGACACTGCTGTGAATGTCTGATTAAAAAACAAACAGAAATAGACTTAATAAGGGTAGTCTGAGGAACCAACACCCTTCCTCTAGTGGGCCTTGTGCTAACTGCCTGGCACCATTGAGCCAATTAGCATTTGCAATAGAATACTAGAATTGGCAGGTGCACTACTCGTGCCCTGTGCTTTTCACAGATAAGAAAATGTTATCCTGAGCACATGTGACAGACATGAAAGGGTCTGGAGATGCCGTGGAGAACGTTATGTTGCCTGTAACATTGTTCAACATGACTGCAAATAGGTATCAGGATGAAATCCTTGGACCCATTGTCAGCCCCTATACTAATACAGTGGGTCCTGGGTATCTCTTGGTCCACAACAATGCCCAGCCTCATGTGGCGAGAGTGTATAGGCAGTTCCTGGAGGATGAAGGAATTGATACCACTGCCTGGCTCCCACGCTTGCCAGACCAGAATCCAATACGTTCCAATAATCCAGTACCTCAGAGACATTATGTTTTAGTCCATCCGGCGCGTTGCATCCTCAGACCGTCCAGCAGCTCAGTGATGCCCTGCTTCAGATCTGGGAGGGGATCCTCCAGGACACCATCCAACGTCTCATGCATACAAGCACGTGGTCAAACTATTAAGTACTATTTTGAGTTGCTGTAACGAAACTTTGGTAAAATGGACTACATCGGGGGGGATTTTACTATGATTTTTGCAGTGCCTTTGAATTTTGCCCTCTGTAGTCTAATAATTTTCATTTCCATCAAACAATGTCACAGCGTTCTGTTCCTAACACATCACTGGGTCTATATCAGTGTAGATATTCAGCATGATATTTCTTTTCCCATCGACCCGATGTGTTTTCAGAGTGTTCCTGTAATTTGTTTGAACAATGCATATTACTACCAGTTAAATATCGTAGCACATCACATACAAGGGGATCTAAAATGGGTTCAATAATCACAAGGAGGCTACAGTCAGTGACTTACTGATCACATAGTCTCCGAATGGATCGTCATCATCCTCATCATCCAGGTAAGCTGGAGCAGAAGTAATGGAAGAAAGAAAAGGCGAGAGAAAAGAAACAAACAAAAAAAAAAAGATTATGAAAAATCAAGAGAGAAAGCATGAGAAACAAACCAAAAACAAAACTGAAAGTGCTCAAGACAATCAGAGAAACGGCCTGACAAAAAAAAAACTTAAGGAAAGAAAACAAAAACAAAGCAAATTGCACTCTAACCTCTGATCATCTGCCTTTTTTATACTCATTCCTGTTCTCAGCCTGATACCTCCAGCCTTCATTAGGAGGCAAAGCGCTGACCATTAAACTACAAAAGTAGTTTCAGCACCACGCGGAGGAAAATATGATCACTCATAATTGACTAGAGAATTCTCAGCTTGCTTTCAGCGCTGCTTCTCACCGTTACACTCCTTTCCCCCCTCTTTCTCTAGGCAGGTTCTGACGATGGCATGAGAGCCCATTACGGCTCACTAAATTCCCTATTAGGATGGCAGCACAGTCGTCAGCAAGTTACAAGTCCAACACAAACGATATTTTACAATGTGTGTAACCTTTTTTTTAAAAAACTGATAATATTACTGTTACTATGAGTGGACCCTCACTGCCTGCTTACACCAGCAAGTTGGCACAATAACGCATATTTGACTGCCCTCTTTGTCAGCTGTATAGGAAAATCCCTCACTCATCATCCTCTTTCCATTTATTCATCGTTTAGGTTTTCCTCTTCTTCTCTGCCTTTCTATCACTCCCGGCTCCCTTCCCTTAATGTGAGTTAGCATCCATCTACTGAGATCGATATCCCGGGGCTTTTATTAAACACTGCTCTTATGCATCTGTGTGTGTGTGTGTGTGTGTGTCTGTGGTGTGGACCTGCCTGCCCGTCTTTGTGCATGTGTATTATCAGCTCCAGGTCGACAATGCTCGACAAGGACAGGGAAAATTTTGCTTAATTTTGTGCGAGTGTGTGAGCACGTATGAGCACCATGTTGAATAGACCAATCATTATTGATCCTGACTGCGGGGCATATTTCAAACCTTTGGCTTAACCAGAGGACATACGCATGCAGATGCATGCTGCACGCGCGCGTGTGTGTCTATCACCACTTTTCTCATTCCGGCATGCACGGCGCTTAGTACATGGACAAAAAGTCCTTGAACCGCTGGGTGAAGTATGAAGGTGTACGCACACATACACATAGCATGCACACGCTCTCAGTGGTGTGTATTTCTGAAAGCGAACTGTCAGTGCTGCTCTCACACACCATTCATCACAAGCTACTAATTCTGTTAGACCATTGTCGAGCCTTTCGCACCCCACGTTGCTCTCTGAAAACTCAATCAGAGGCTAATGCCCCCAACCCTCCCAACACACAAACACGCGTGCTCTCACTCTCAGTTTCTTACTCGCACACACTCACAGAGACCCTGAGGGGACAGCAGTGGTCTTGGGGGACCGCACCAGCCCAACTCTATAAGTGTGGCTCGAATTTGATAGACAAGCGAGGCACGAACTGAGTTACTCGTGTTGAGAGTGGCTGCAGTGTAAATCTAACTGCTAACACCTGAAAGCAAAAAAAGGTCTTACAGTCACTCTGTGGCATATAATTATAATCTGCGTTGCATAGTATAAAGCACTTTTTATTCAAAACGAAAATGATCATAATTAAACATTATCTTAATATCCTTGATTACAAGACAATCACTTGAGCGCCGTGACTGTCTAAGGTAAAAAATTTTAGAAAAAACCCTGTCAGCCGATTTGAATGCGGTTTGATTTACGGTTTGCTTTGTGGGGGAATATTAAAAAAAGAGGACAGCGCTGGTGCAGGCACTCTGCCACCTGTGCTAGTAGATTTGATTAGTTAATCAGAGGAATCACTTTGCCCAACTCTGCTTTTATAAAGCATAATTACAGCTCCAGCTACCGAGGAAATGAAAAAAAGAAAAGAACAAAAGGGGAAAAAAAAGTTCTCAACTGCAGATGTTTTTAGAGACATTTGGAAAGTTTTGTTTCTGGTCTTTTCAAAAAAGAGAATTAATACTTTAGCATAATAAAAGCATCACAGCAAAGCTCCTTAATAAAAACAGAGTGAAGAAAGGCTCTGCGAGGAGGGGAATTAAGGCATTTGAGCAAGCCCAGATCGGGGGCAGGGTTAGTCAGAAAAGGCCAGACTAAATTTAGCGCCACCTTTTCATTCTCTAATTATGAGATTAATACATCCTGTCACATATGTCACAATACAACCTCGTGATTTATTATCCAGTCAACCAGATGGAGAGATTGAGCCAGAGAAGGAAGGAGGAGGAGAGGGAGTTTGTCTGAAAACAGCTAATCAGCATGCATGTGTGATTTGGGCCGGTCCTCAACTGAGCGGCCAGTCTGTGTATATAAAGTTGGCAGGCGGGGTAAAGGCAAGATTTATTGATGGGAACCAATGCTGAAGTTGAATTTGATTCTGTATGTTTCCTTTAAATGGCTGCTGTATAATGAGAGGAAAACACAGAGGCATATGGACCACACACCCAAACACACACACAAGCATATGAGGAGAGCTGGAGTATGGATCGTGGCCATAAAGTCTGGCCTGGGCTTCAGGTTTAAATCAATGTCAGAGCCTGATCTTATTTCATTTAATGCATGTTTTAATCATTCTCCCTTCTGATCAATGCAGTTTGGATGTGACCATCAGGCACTGCTGTGGGAATTTACAAGCACTCCTGTTCTCCTGCCTGTGTTTCCAGACGGACGTTTTACGAGGCAGTGCACAGTGTGACAGTAAATCTCTTCCTCCACTTTGCCAAAATGAAATCTCCAAATGCTGCTCACTATGCCCATATTTGTTTGTCTCCCGCTAAAGAAACTTGCATTGGCTCTGCCAAGTCAACGTTCTAGTCTCTTTATTTTAATAGTGTCTGGAAGGGGCAATAAACGGGAAGTGTCTTTATTCAATAGTCGACAATAAAACTGGATGTAGGGAAACTTTGAAATCCCTGAGTTGCGTTTATGAAACTAATTTAACGGGCTTTGCATACTTCTCTGTAAAAGGAATTTACCAGTGAATGAAAACACCCCAACAAGCGAAAAATAAACCACAAAATGAAAAATCCTCTCTTATGAACTGAGAGTTAGAGTCAGGAAGCTGGTGTGACAGATACCAGAGCTCTGCAGGGGAAATGAATACACTCATAAACTGCTCCTTAAGCGGTAACTTATTCACTTAACGGTCAATTCATCCTCGTCAGTGGATGAAGCTCACAGAACAACGTAAAATGTCAGTAGGAGGAGCTCGTAGCTATTTTGTATTGTTCATTTTCCATTTTTTAGATATACATAGATACTTAAAGGGAAATATATTTAGATTTCTTTAACCTACAGTTTCTGCAGACCCTTGACACCCATCCCCATATCAGCTCCTTCTATTTGTGTTAATCTCATCGATGCCTTTTGTGACGACAGCTACTCTGTTCTTGCTGCTTATGCTTTCCATGTATGGGTGTGGAATGGTGACAGGGCCTGTAAAACAGTCACACCAGCAGATATGCATTAACAAGCCACCTTATTAAGTGCACCTTGTCTAACCCTCCTTTTCCCTCAGAACTGTATTAATTCTTTGTCACATAAATTACTATTCATTTGAATACACTATTCTACATATTATATATTCACTATTATACAAACTATTAAACTCAAACTTGAGGGTTATTCAGCTGGAAGCAGTCATCAAAAGATAGGTACGCTGTGCTGATAAAGAGGTGGACATGGTCAGCAGTACTCATGCAGGTTCCAAGCAAATAATTGATGCTCAGTTGGTACTAAGAAGCCCAACGTGTGCCAATAAAATGTCCCTCACACCATTAGACCACCTGCAACCTGAACCATCAATACAGGGCAGGGTGGATCCATCCTGACAGTACCGCCTGAATGTTGCAGCAGAACAGGCAACTTCTAATGTCCAGTTTTGGTAAGCATTTTCAAAATATCAGTGTCCTGTTCTTAGCTGACAGAAAAGGCACCTCATGTCATGTTCTCTGCTGCTCAAGGTTCGATGTGCTGTAACGACTAGTTCCAGTTACTGTGGCCCTCTTTTCAGCTCAAAGCAATCAGCTCAAAGTCACTTGTGACGAAAGGACCCACAACACACAGCTTTGTAGGTAGTTGAATGTTTATTTATAATGTCTCCAGTGACTCCAGTTAGGCAGTTTTGCAGCCGCCTCTCTCTAGTGCAGTACACACAGCTCTGCTGTCAGGTCCCAGCATCCTACTCAAACAGGGAACGCACGATCATACAATGGAAATCAGCTGTGTTGGTAAGCCTTCCTCTAACACCACACCTGCTGCTCCGCTCCACCCCCCACCCCTCCATTCTGATGCCTGATTTGAACTTCAGCAGTTGATGTTGACCAGGTCCACATGCCTAAATGCAATGAGCTGCTGCCATGTGATTGGCTGATAAGATATTTGTGTTAACGAGCAGTTGATCAGGTGTACCTAACAAAGTGGCTGGTGAGTGTAAACTAAAGTATATGGCTGTATCCCAATTCAGGGTCTGCAGCCTTAAAGTACGCAGCCTCAACGATCCTCAAGGGCCGCGTACTTAAAGACCGCTAAGGCCGGAAGTGCGAGGCTTGTGAAATGGGACGGTCTAGCCTCCGTTGCGCTGCCAGGTTGCCTAGCAACCATGGTACTAAATGCTGGAAACGTTTCATACAGCTTTGTTTGACAGAAATGAAGGAGAAAATCTTTTGTT